CTGCTGCAGGGGTGGGTTCCTGCCAGTTCTAACCTCTTCTATAGAAGAGGTTCCACAAATCTACAGTGCCGTTTAGAACCGGTTCCAACTCCCTCCCCCCGCCCGTCAGCACATCATCAAGGTGAAAAACAAGAGGAGGAATTCTGGGAGTTGAAGTCCGCAAGTCTTAAAGCTGTCAAGTTACAAGACCCTTGCACCCCTAACTCTTTAGAAAACGCCCCCCCCTAGGGGTGTTCAAACTTTACAGCTTTAAGACTTGTGGGCTTCAACTCCTAGAATTCCTCCTCTCGCTCTTCATCTTGATGATGTGCAGACGGGCGGCAGGGGGGGGAGGGAGTTGGAACCGGTTCTAAACGGCACTGTAGATTTGTGGAACCTCTTCTATAGAAGAGGTTAGAACTGGCAGGAACCCACCCCTGGTGGGGGAACTATGGCCCTTTTGTGCCTGGTGGACTTCAACTCCCAGAATTCCTGACACAGCATGGGAACTAATCCCTTTAATGACTTGTGGACTTCAACTCCCAGAATTCCTGACATAGCATACCATAGCTGGCTCGGGAATTCTGGGAGTTGAAGTCCACAAGTCCTAAAGAGAGCATGATTCCCCACCTCTTTATCAAAGAATCTAGTTATTGATTCAAAACTATGGCGCATATGTTTTGAAAGATGTGAGCGGCTGGATCCCGAAACAGGTTTCACTTTTTCACTTTCTATTGAAAATACTATTTTCTTAAATTTTAATAGGGCTTTTACAGTCCTGTCTGCGTTTTGCCTTCTCAGTATGGTGAAATTCGTGGATGCTTTATATTTGTTAAGTTTTCTTCTCATCGGGAAATGAAATATCCACATAGCAGCCTTATCTTACTTGCTGAGTAAGATGTATTTTAATTCCTTCCCCCCACACTCCCAATGCAACAGAATTGGATACCACTTCCTAGGTGGAAAGTAAACGGCTATTTCAGAAATTAGAAGTAACAGTAACAGAGTTGCAAGGGACCTTGGAGGTCATCTATTCCAACCCCCTGCTCACGCAGGAGACCTATACTAGGGATTCGAACTGCCAAACTGCCGACCTTTCTGATCGACAAGCTCAGTGTCTTAGCCACTAGACATAGAGGAGAACAATGCCTAGTAAATTAGTTAGAATTCAGAATAATAGACTTGGAAGGGACTTTGGAGGTCTTCTAGTCCAACCCCCTGCTCAAGCAGGAGACCCTACACCATTTCAGGTCAATGGCTGTCCAGTTTCTTCTTAAAAGCCTCCAGTGATGGAGCACCCACAACTTCGGGTGGCAAGTCGCTCCATTGGTTGATTGTTTTTAGTTTTCTTGGTGGCAAGGAGTAAAATTGCTTCTAAGTTGGAAGTAAAGATATAAAATATTAGATACAGGCAGGGGTGAAATTCAGCAGGTTCTGACAGGTTCTGGAGAACCGGTAGTGGAAATTTTGAGTAGTTCGGAGAACCAGCAAATACCACCTCTGGCTGGCCTCAGAGTCGGGTGGGAATGGAGGTTTTGCAGTATCCTTCCCCTGCCATGCCCACCAAGCCACGCTCACAGAACCAGTAGTAAAAAAAAATTGAATTTCACCACTGCTTAATACCATACCTGTTCTGACCCCCTCCTCCGTCCAGTAACAAAAGCCGAGACATGCTTAATGAGAATGTCCTTTAATAGCAAGTCCAGACTCTCGGTGGCTGAAAGCCAAGTAAACAAAC